CAAGTGTGAGATTTGTATAAATGGGAAGCCACAAAGCTCTTCTTACTAAACTTGTGTTGTTTCTAAATATAGCTATCTTCCTGAAAGCCATGTCATTCATGGCAGTGCAAACTGGGCTTGTACTTATCAAACAAATGAATAAATATTTTAAGACTTCTCAGTTCTCATTTCTAACACATCGATAGGCGTCGCCCACACAAGCAAAAACTCTTTGGAGTTTTCAATAATCTGTAAGAATGTAAAGGGCTCCCAAGATTGGACTCTTCCTGCCCATGTCTTTTTATCATTGGTGACCCGGGAGGCTGAGCTGTAGGGATGTGTGTGTGGCGTCGCATAATAGGTCTGGGATCAGGGTACAGTCCCAGGAAGAAAGGGACAGTAAGAGGTGAGGCGTATACCCCATGGGGAGGTGGCCCCACATTTCTTCCTGCCTGTGCAGCCCTGTTCAGAGTTACGCTCCCCCAACCCACCCTGACTTTTGCTCCTTTCAGCTTTGAAGCCCAACAACCAGCCCAGCGTTCCTGGGAACAGGCCTCACAGCACAGGAAGGCTCAGAGGCCACACGACCAGTAGGTTTTTTTGTGTGTCTAGGCTGACATTGCTTAAAAGATAGAAATTGGGGGTTCTAGGGTCTGTCTCTCATCATCTTAGGATGGAACCATGTCCACAGGATGGGCTGGCTGATAGGAAAGGGTTTTTTCCTGATGTTTTTTGGAGAACTACATGAGATCTCTCATACACTCTTCTCTAGGACACTCATAAGTGCCTGAAGTCAGGGTCCCCTCACACGATTGGCAGTCAGGAAGTTCCCCTACCTAGTGTCAGGCTGCTCTGTAGTTGCTCTGGGGGCCCAGGAGCCCAGGGGCCAGGGACAGAAGAGCTGACTTTGCTTCAGGGAATCCCCAGTGAAAGGGAATTAGTTCTAGAGAGGGTCCAGTCTAGTGGGGAAGACAGGTGTCTCCCCAACAACACTGTCACATCCGACATCAAGGTAAAGCCACAGGCACAAGGAACAGGGTGGGTGCAGAAGAGGCACTGTGCAAGAGAACAGAGGGAAGCAGAAGGGAAACGTGCAGCAGGAAAGGCTGAAGGACCCAAGAGCCCAGGGTGGGGGAGGGGTGGCTCAGGGCCTTCGGGCAGACCATGGAACATACCTGGGTGGGGTATCCCCAGAAGATGGGGGAGTTGGAGAGCTGGGGGAAAGCTAACACAAAGTGTCTTGAAGACTGTAATTGAAACCAGATGCCCGTATGGGAAAGGGACGAAAAAAATGGATGTTTCATGAGGACAGTCCTGGGGATAACTCCCTGGTGGGGCACAGGGTGGGGTTGGGAAGCAAGGAGAGAGAGGCTGGAGTCAGGAAGGCCTCTAGGAGGGAGTTGCGGGCATCTGGCTGATGGAAAGTGCAGGCTGATCTGAGGACAAAGAAGAGGGGTCACTGGAACTGACAGAAGTCAGGGGGGACCAGTTTAGGAGGGAGGCAAGCTGGTCATGGCAGGGGAGCCTGACATGTGGGGGAGAGGGACAGGCAGGTCTCAGGGGTTGGGGGCTAAGATGTGAGGGTAAGGAAAAGGTCTTTGATTACAAGAGTGAAGTTGTTCAGAATGAGGAAAGACAAGTTTGAGGAAGCTCAACAGCTTGGTTCCCACAAACTGAACCTGAGGTAAAGACAGGACATTGGCTTGGTATAAACTTATGGGAGGAAGGAACTGTAGAGGCCCTAGTTTGGCCAGAGCAGTCAGCAATTTCGTCTGCAAAGAGTGAAAGGTAGAGACCTAGGGCAGGAGCCCAGGAAAAACCCCAGTGAAGGGCTGGGTAGCCCAGGAATAGGAAAGGGGACCCAGCGACAGTGCATGTCCACACCAGTCGGTCACCAATATTGACTCAGTCCACAACCATATGGACCCTGAGGTGAGGCTGAAGAGGTACTAGGTGCCAGAAGTGAAACCATTTCAATCAGGGACTGGCTCCCAGCCAGCTCATAGCCCCCAGCCTCCAGGGAACGGAGGGGGAGGGCCGGGCAGAACAGCACAGGGAGTCACTGGGCTTGAGGCCTCCTGACAGCATCATGTGATCCTGATGCTTAGCGAGCCTCGAACCTCACGGAACCCCTCCGCAGCACTAAGGATGGACTTTTTAGGGGGTTGACTTGAATTTGTGCCAGAAGATGGTCTTCCTTGTCCAATCTCCATTTCTGATTCTTCCTTTTACAGACCCTGGAAGCGAGCTCTGTCTGTCCTTCCAGCTGCAGGCTCAGACCTCACGGGGTCTTCTGCGGCAGGGACAGAGCAGAAAGCGCAGGCCCTGCACACCTTGGCTGTGTGTGTCTCCAAAGAGCCAAGTCAGCCCCTCAGGGCAGTCAGCTCTTCCTTCCCTCCACATTCCAGAGCTGCCCTCCCTCTCCCCCACCTCAAATCCCGCTCCAGCTGGAGACACCCACGGGGAGCTTTCCCACAATGCCTTTCTCTTTGTCCTTTCAAGGTTTGAGGGGGGAGGGGGTGGAGAAGGGCCACCCAGTTGCACTGTCTCCATGAACAACGGCAGCCACGCGTGTATTAAACTTGAATGAAGCCAACACGAAAAAACCTGGCTGTGGAAGAGTTGGCGTTCCTCTCTGATCCAATCTTTCTGTTGCCCTGCCCCACCCTGTGCCCTGAGTATTCCTCTTTCTGCCCCCTCAGGGTCTCGCCACCTCCCTGGGCTGCTGGTCCCACTCTGGACATAGCATTGACTAGTCAGGCAAGAGAAGAATCTAGGCCGAGGAGGGGAGGGAGAGCGGAGGGTTTTTCCTTCCTTCTGTCCTAGATAACCCTTGGGGGAGGAAAGTTGAGGGGTTCCAGTGCCCAGAGTTTCCTCCATATCAACACCAGGGAGTCCATCAAGCTTCCATCTTGAGTGAGGAATCTACACATTTATCTAGGAGATATTTCCCCCTCTGAGCACATCTTTCCACACAATGCACCCCTCCACCCCCCTTGAGCCAGCCTCCATCCCACCAATCACAGGATGACCCCAGAGGACTTCATTTGAACCCACCCGGTCCTCATGTCTCAGCCTCTCTGGTCCCAAGAACAGGGAAGGAGGCCCTGGATCTTCTGTCAGCTCATTACCGTCAAGCCCAAGCCAACGGAGGGAGCTGTAAAGGAGCCCAGGAACAGAGTTGCAGGCGGGGGAGTGGGGTGCTGTTGAGTGGGGCACAGGGAGGAGGGGGTTGCCATGAGCAGACAAGGAGTCCTCCCACACAAACGTGTCCCAGAATGGTGTGGGCAGATGGTGGGGCGAGAGACTTTGTTACCTCAGAGTAGGGCAAGAGTGGGATTCTGCATGAGAACTGCAGGAGGAATGGGACCCCAACCCTGCTCCCTACCCCCCAGGGGACTCACTGCCATTTGATATCCACTGAGACAAGTTGGCTGCACAGACTCCGGGTGGGGGCTGGGAGATGACTCAGAAAACAGCAGCTCCTTTCAGGACCCAGGTTGGCAAGGGCTTTGGGAGGCTGGACTGGCCCAGATCACCCCCAACACCCCCTCTCTCCCTCCCTCGCCACCACCACCAAAGAACTGGGGGCGGAGAAAAAGAGTTGGCACTGCCCGGACCATGCCCATTGCCTTTGCAGCCCAGCTCTGGCCTCTGTCCCGGACAGGACACCGTCCCTCCCCCTCCTCTCTCATTTCCTCTCCCTGAAGAACAAGCTATGGGCATCTGGTTCTTTCTGTGCTGGGTTTCCCAGCTTCTACCCTGAGACAATGACAAACCAACCCCTGAGCATGATGGGACCTTGCCCACCATCATGCCAGGAACATACGCAGATCTCTGGAGACTAGGGAGAGGGTTTGAGAGGAGGTAAGATGAAACTCAGCAGTGCTGTGGGTCAATCCTCAGCTGGCTTCTCGGTACCCCTCAGCAAGCCTAAATAAGCAGCAGTCCTCATAGAAAAGCATCAAAACTTCCATGGCCACCTCCCTCCCACCGGGAAAGATCTCTGTGGGGCAAAATTCAAATACCACGCCTAAGAAAGACTGGGCAAAACTTAGCTAGAGTTGTACTGATGTTCAACACAGTTTCTCCTTTAAGCCTTGGCCTACTTTCAGTGCAAGTCCTGACCACCTTACCATTTCACATCCACATTTGCTTTACTGCTTAGGGGGTTTTATTAACATCAACGAATCTCAAAAGAACAGATGTCCCGTATATATTTCCCCATTTTGTCCTTCTACCCATCTCCTGATTCAGTGCTTCTCCCGCAAGTCAGGAAATACCAACTCTCATCTCTTTCCTAACACAGTGTCCTGGGTCAGTTCCTGGCGGCAAGAAGGGATGGGCTGGGGAGAAGGCATCTCTATCTGGAGGGTGGATGCCATAGAAGCCAATCTGTCTTCTCACTCCAGGAGAATAGTCTGGCTCCTTCCCTCCTAGGGTGCTCAGTGTGAAACTGCCAGGGGTGGGGGGAGTAATGGGGAGGGGTGGATCGAAGTGGGAGGTGAGTGGGAATGGAGGGACTGGGGGGGCAAAGGTCCTAGGCATACCCCACTGATGGAGGCTTGTGTGCACATGTGAACTAGTGCTCAGCAGGTGTCTCCACAGAGGGTCATTGGATGGGGGGAGGAGAAAGGGGGCTGGGTGTGGGAGTGGGAGTGACCTGAAGATCCTAGGAAGGGGGCACTGTCTGGAGGCCAGGGGGGTGCAGGGTTATGTATGGTGGTCATAGTCCTTAGTGGAGTTGTGTTGCTCCTCTGTCTACCCAGTGGGATGCGTATCAGGTAGCCCCTTTCTTAATCTAGAAGGGAGGAGGTGACAGGCTTGGGTAAAGTTACCTTCTTAGGGAATCCTTTCCAAAAGGGTGGGTTTGGAGGGCGCCTTAAACAGGCTGGGACGCAGGATGGAGGGCAGCCAGAGGGGAGAAGAAAGGAGCTGGGGACCCCACCAGACGGTGGAGAGTGTGCAGGAAATAACCCCCGGTGGGCAGCAGCACTCCTTCGTTAGGGCCAGGGTCTTACCTTGGGTCCGGGAAGTAGTGGCCCCTAGGTGGGCAGCGGAACGAACTGACGGACGAGGCAGGCAGGAGGGAGGAGCGGAGCGATGTCGGGACCAGGACTCTTAAACCTGAAGCTGGGATCAGATAAGGGCTGGGCCAGGGCCGGGGCCGGGGTCAGGCCGGCCGGGGGCAGAGCTGGGCCGGGCCGGGCCGCCCCCTCCCTCCTCAGACGGAGCCAAACTTCGTGTGAATGGAGGGCCCGGAGGGGGCCGGGCAGCCGGGGGCGGGGGGCTCGGAGCGCGCCAATAGGAACGCGGAGCGCCAGACCCGCGTCTCGGGATTGGAGGGGCTTGGGCAAGGGGCGGGTCCTGGAGCGAGGAAGCGGAGACGCGGGAGGACCAAGGTGCCGGGCAGAGTGCGCCCGCAAAGACAGGAACCCCGACAGAAGGAGGCAGAAAGCACTGGGCGCCCCTAAAGCTAGACCACGCAACAGAGAGCAAATCTCAAAGGCAGAGACTTGAAAAACGGAGGCGCAGTGCAGATGACACAAAGATAGAGACCCCGACAGCCGGAAGCGCAGGCGGAGAGCAGACCCCAAATACTCAGACCCGGGGGGAGAGAGATAAAGAGGCGATAGGTGGGACTACAGGAGATGAGCTGGGAAGGTGACAGGGAGAGAGAAAGAAGGAAAAGGAGGCGGTCGAGTCAGCGAGGGGAAGGAGAGCAGAGCCGGTGGGGCGGGACTGGCGAGTCAATGGGGTGGAAATGAATTCCGCCTGGCCCAGTGACCCACAGGCAGTGCTGAAGGAGCGGGCTTCGGCTGGCCTCCCGAGCCACGGGGCTAACTGAAGGGCTAGTTGCACTGGGTACTCTCCCCGACGCTCTTGGTCAAGCCCACAGAGACCCGGGCTGGAGAAAGGATGCTGCCCAGTGTGGGCCGGGTAAGGGGCCCGAGAGCAGGGGAGATCTCTCGTCTTAGGAGTCCTGGCGGTGCCGAAAGACAAAGGTGACTTGTGATAAAAACTAAAGAATGAGAGAACTTTTAGGGCATGAACAAAATCCTGGGGGGGGGCATGAAAATATAAGTCCTTTTGGGAAATAGCACCCACCCTCTTGGGAGTTTTATCTACAATCTTCCACCCTTGGCATTTCCTAAGGGAGAAAATAATTGTTTTCTATTTCTGTTTATCATAGAAATTTAAGTACTAATCCGTACTAAGTACTATTAGTACTAATCAGTAACCAGTAACAAGTTAAAACACCTCTTGGTGGGGGTGGGGAAAGAAAATAAGGGAAAACCCTTAGTTCAGTCTCTAAAAAGTATACAAAAGTCATGTCATGAATACATTTCAAATAGCCCCATTTGGGCAGGGGATACTGAGCTAAAGGTCAAGTTCCACACCAGCTGGGCACATCCTACACTGAACCCATCTTCCTCCCAAGGCTGGATTCTACTGGCTTCTGATACCTGTGTTTCTCCTGACCAGCTACATCAAAACGTGCAAAGTGATGGTCACTCTTCACTCTTGCCTTCTGCCCCATCCTTTGGCAAGTCAACTAAGCCTCCATACCTTCTGTTATGCCCCTTGAGGATGTCCATTCCACTGCACAGCCACTGCTAGCATCAGAGATTCCAGGACTTGCCCACCCCTCACCCTTCTGGACAGGCTCAAAGGAAGAGGCCACCTGTACTGATCATGTCAATCATCCCTATGCCTTTGTGCAAACTCCCCCCCCCCCCTGGGCAGTTTCCTCTTGCTGATTGGCCACTGTGCAAAGCACGGGACCTTCTGTAGAAGGGAAGGAAGTGTCAGGGGCAGGACCAGAAGGGCCTTCCATTTGGTTATCACCTTTTCTACAGAGCAGAAGTAGCCATCTACTAGAAATCAGGGTGGGAATGGGATTGGGCATTAGGAGTTCAGAAATCCTAATGGCAAAGTGCAAGTTTGTGGGAAATTACAAATAGCTCAAAGGACACCATAGTTTTCTAATTTTATTTTGTTTTTTATTTTTCTAATTTTAAAAGAGCATTTTAAATGAGGTCTACATTCTTAAGCTATTTATGTCATGTATATGCCTCTGTACCTATCAAATGTTAGTCTTTTTTATTTTTATACCTTATAACTTTTTTTAAAGATTTATTGATTTATGCATACAGAACTGGGTACAGGCTAGAGGTGCAGGTGAGGTGAGAGGATTCACCAGAGACAGAGGAGAGAGCAGAACAGGCCAGCTGACCTGAGGGGAGCAGTGGGTGGGTCAGAAGAGGTCTGTCCTGCCATGTGGATCTCCTTCTGGGCAGGGATTGAACTCATGCTGTAGTGGCTTTAGCTTCTTAGTGCTGTGCTTTAACACGGTGCACCACCAGGAAGAGCCTCAAATGTTAGTTTTTAGGTTTTACATCCTTTTTGAAAAGAGCATTTTCAGTATAGTCACTAGGATCCCCTTAAAGAGTCAATGACAATGGGCATAGAAAATTAGCATTCTTGAGTGTTTCCTATGCAAGACAAAGACCACTTGAAAAGCAGAAACTGAGGATCAGAAAGAATAAGAGATTTGCCTGTGGTAGAATAACTACAACATGTTATATTAGTCACCCCTTGCCTGTAAAGTAAGTACTAATTCTGCACCACTTACCATGATTTAAATTCTGGTCTACCTCTACCCAACTTATCAAGCAGAAAGACTGACACGTGAGACAGCTGTGTCTGCCCTGAAGCTGCGCTCTAATCTTCGCCACCTCTGGTCACCTGGCACTGCTTCAACCATATCCTCCCTCTGCTCTGAGTTTTCAAAGTCCCCACCTCCCCTAACTTTGTAGAAATTGTTAGAGTCTAAACTTCCTTAACCTTCTCGCTCCTTTAGACTCGTATTGTTGATTGTCTCACTCCTGCCCCCCCATCATGCTTCCTCTCTCACTTTCGAGTTTCACCGAAAATCTCATGATGTTGCTCAAGGAAATCTCCCCAGACTGATAAACCCCGGGGCTGCCACATTCAGCTGTACAGTTGACTGAACAAAAGCTCTCACCAAGTGGGCAAACTGAGGCTCGAACTGAGTTGGGCTTGCTGGTTCCTACCCCTGGCTCAGCTGAGAGCTGTGTCTACTGAAGGGATATGTCCGCCTCCCTCTTGGCCCCAGAGTACCACCTGCTCTCCAAGCTAAGTGCTATGAGGAATGGAGCTGCCCAGAGAAGTTTCCTTTTTCCATTTCACACCAAGTTTCTTTCGATCTGAGCAGCACAGTCCCCACTGTGCCCCGCTGTCCTCAACACTCTCCAGTTCCAAACCCAATCATCACAATAGCACTATTTGTATTGATTCCTTGTAAAGTTATCTTTATCTCATCATACCTGAAAGCTGGGATCTTGCCTATTTTTCTGTATCCTGGTACCTAAGAAACCTGATTTTTCCTTGCTCTGTTCAAGCTCGATGGTAAACAAGGAACTGAAGTTAGGTACAGACCACATCCAAGAACTGCAGGAGCATAATCTGGGGAGTGTGGCTTCTTCCTTGTGAGCAGGTTTTCGTCATGGCTCCTGTGCCCAGGCAGGGCTGGATGATGCACCTTCTGGAGGTCCCTGTAACCTGTGTTTCCCCCTCCAGGAAATGGGGCCAGTTCTATGCAAATGTGCTCTTGCTCAGGAGTTCAGTTTCTTCTCTTGGAGCTCCTGGCACCGTGGAACCAACATGAGCAGTCGCTTGGCAGGACAGAGAAGGGCTGAGTAGCAGTCCCAGGGCTCGGATGACAGGCCAGGTCTAAGAGACGGGGATGTTGACTGGGGCTTTAACAGCCCTCCTGATGCCAATCTTGGGCTGAACACCTGATATTTCCACTTGGAACAAGCAGCACAGACAAGACTGCATGGGAGGAGGGTGGTGAGGCAAGAGCGCCCCCTGCAGGCGGTGGTGCCATGCCAGAGGAAAGCTGTAGGAGGCTGCCAGGAGACAGATGGGATGACCTTCACCAAGCAGGGAACAGAAAGGGGTGTCACAGGGTGACATCACCATGAGGGGAGCAGGAAGGTATGTGACAGTGTGCTTGCCCTGCTTCGAATCTTCACGACAACCCCTGAGACATGGATAAGACAGTTCTTCTCATTTCTTGGAGAAACTAGACAAGTGGAGAAATTCACTCCAAGTCACCCAGCTGGCCACGGACAGAATTGGGATTTGAGCCCAGGTCATCGCCTCCCAAGGCAATGCCTGTTGGTCACACCCCTTCCCATCTTGCTGACTTATTTCAGATATAATCCCCTTCCCTCGTTTTTGTCAGTGCTCTTATAGCCTCTTCTATTCAGGGATGATGAATTTATAAGAATAGTTTTTGTTCTTTTTATTTGTTATGCAATGGTGTACCTGCAGATATGTTTAGACATGTGACCATCATACATGTAGTGGATTTACAGTAGTTGATTATAGTACTAGAAGTCATGCGATAGAGTGTCACTTTTGAAACGAGCATGGGTGGGACGCAGATGCATAAGTTGGACCACCATGTCCACCATCATTTAATTCTGTGACAGTAGTTAAATCACTTAGCTTTGTTTACTCACCTTTAAAAATAGAAAATAATACCTATGTCCCAGGGGCTGTCACAGGGTTGTGAAGTGGGTGTGTGCTCGTAATGCTGCCAGTGGATTTTCAGCCGTGGTGTGAGTATTGTGTGTGCACCTGTCTTCCTCCCCACTGCCCCAGGACCTCTTGTGGGCAGGAACTCATTCATTTCTATAGCCATCAGTACCAGTACACAGCCTGCGTAAAAGTATGTTGAGTGAATCAGCAAGGAATTCATAGCCCTGGATGCTGGAGCTGCTTCGACACTCTGTGCTGCTAACGACAGGCACTCAAAGCCCTTCTATTCCATTGCCACATTTGCTCTGAACACCATGAGGTGCGTGGAAGGGGCTGTTTGCATGCATGCATACCCCATGAGAGAGGGCACTACTGTGGCTAAGGGGCACAATATACTCCTAGGGGTCACATCATGCCCACGACAAGGATTAAGCTCTTAACTTTGCCTCCTCCACGGGATGAGTCGCTTCCCCCTAGCTACATCCAAGTCGGGGGATCAGGGTGTTCCCCTAACATCAGAGACTGGGATGCTGAGGCTGATGCAAGAGCAGCATCTGCACTGAAGCCCCCTGAGGTGGGTGGCTGCCAGCTCCCCAAGAGCTCCGAGTCCCCAAGAAACCAAATGCTTTCCCCCAAACACATCAGACCAGTATCTCTCTAGAGCAAAGAGCTTCTTAGGAGAGAGCTAGCGTACCAATGTTTCTCTACTCTTCTTTTTTTTTCCTGAGGGGTGAGGAGGCGAGCTCTAAGTTGCCCAGGAGGAGGGACTTTGGCTAAAAATAGCTATGGCGTGTGGATCAGCCTCTAGTGGTACCCAGGACTGGGGAGAGGAGGGGGATGCTCTGGAGCTGTCGCCAGACCCGTTGCTGTGGAAACGAGAGAGGAGCAGGGGAGCCTGGGAAGTGGGGATGACACAGATAGCAAGTCCTAGTCAGAGCTGCCGCTACATTTAGGAGAAACAGCAGAGTCTGCGGCTCCCACCTGCAAGGGCACCGGGGGGGCGGTGTCGGGGTCTGGACCCCACTCCCCGGGGGTCTCTGCTGCCGACCACTCTTCTCTCTACACACTGTGAGTTGAGTTGCGGGGGACTTGGGTTTGGGCCCCTATTTCCAAAGCAAGTGGGGATTTGGGAGGAGCTGATTTCTGAGGGAGTCTTTGCCAGATTCCCTTCCAAAAAATAAGCCCCCTGGCTGCCTAGAACTTCTTAGGTGGGGAAAGCTTTCCGAAAAATGTGCCACTGGGGTCTTCTTCAAAGACGGCACAGCATGAACAAGAAATGAAGAGGGGGTTTAGAGGACAAGCATCTTGGGAGGGAAGGTGCAAAAATGAAAGCCTGTGAGGTGGGGATCGAGGCAACAATTTGACACACCTTGCCTTACTCATTGAGAAAAACGCAGCCCCCTCCATACTTAGGTAGCCAGGAGGTGGGACACAATCAAAGTAAGGTTCACCTGGATCCTTGGGGCTACGGGGAGCAGAATTCTGGAGGTGATCACTCTGGGCTGAGAGCTTCGCAGAGCAAGCAGACTGAGGGGCCAGTTACCTAAGTCCCTGAGAGGATACTGGAGGTGCTCCTGGGAGGAGCTACAATGAGTGGGACCAGCCACTTTCTTGCATGACCTGGGGTCACTGAGCTAGTCAGTGCTTAGAGATCACTTCTCTGGCTGCCAGGAAGGATAGGGAAGCCCACTACGGGGGTGGGGGGGAGGACCCTGATCTGCTACCCCATTGTGCCGGCCATGCCTTGTGTCCCCTGACTCCCCACTCCAAAATAAGTGTGGGGTTCCCCAAGCTCCAAGCTGTCTCTTTTTGGTTTCTCCTCCTACCCTCCATTTCAACACACACGCACACACACACATTCCAAATTTCTGTCACAGGTACCTCTCCCAAACTTACATTCTGGGTGTTAGCTTTGGAGTTACAGATACATGCATCTCTCCCCAGGCAGGACCTGGTCCAACATCCAGACCATCTGTGAGCCTTATGTCACACTCCCCCCTCCACCACCTCTCCTGGCCAGCACAGCTTTCCCTGGAGTGGGGAGAGCATGATCCCCAGGAAGAGGGGAGAGTTGAAGAGTCCCAAATCCTTATTCTATATGAGCCACACCTCCTGGGGCCCCCAGGTGCCTAGGGAAGGACTCTGGATCACCCCCTCAGGGCGGATTGCAGCTCCAAGAGCTCAGAGCAGCACTGTGAAGCAGAATCCTATAGGCTTCCCTCAGAATGTGAGCTTTGGGTCACATTTGTTGTGAGGACGGTCAGTCAGCAGCAGGGGGCTGGGGAAAGAACTGGAGCAGTGGGGGGCAAATGCGAGTACCGGCAGCTAGGCTCACCTCATCATCACGAAGAACAGACACTAGAGGGACACGGGTCCAGTGCTTGATGGGCCTGTGCTATGACCCATGTCCTTCACACTGCTGCCCATTTGGGGGCTCTCTTCACTGCAGAAAGAGCCCAGGGAAATGGGGCTAACCCTGAAGCTGCAAGAATAGTAGTTAGTCCTCAGGGAAGACATCCAGTGGGCCCTGTGCCGTTCGGGAATATTCAGCCCTTGCCCACTGAGATCTTCCCGCCCCCTCCACCCTTCCTTGTGAGCTTGGAGGGAGGAGGACTTGCCGGAGGGTGGAGTAAGTGAACGCAGGGTGGGAGGAATGGGAAAGACCTATGTGTCTATCTTGGGGTGAACTTGGAAAGCTTGGTTAGACGTCAGGATGAGGGGGCTGCAGTGACATTAGCCAGGGAGGGGGCACAGTAACTTCCTGCCTTCCAGGAGCCCACAGCCCAGTGATTTTTGGGAAACACCCTCCCCCCTGCCTGGGCCCTTGAGGCATTACCGACCCTAGTAAGAACTGAGAGGACCAGGACCCCTGGTGGGTCCCCACCCTGAACACAGCAGCCACACAGGCAGGGTACCCTCCTGTCATTCAGCCTGATTCCCCAGTTTGCAGGCTGGGGCCCTTGGCTGTGCACACAGTGAATCCTGGCTCGGCCGCCCACATGGGCGCTGGGGCTCTGTCTCCGCAGGTGGCGCGGGCGGATGCGCCCCCGGAGTGGCGATGGCGCAGGAGCGTGTGCCGCCTGCGGGCCCCGACGGGCCGCCGCGCCGCCGCGGGCGCCAGCGCTACGTGGAGAAAGACGGCCGCTGCAACGTGCAGCATGGCAACGTGAGCGAAACCTACCGCTACCTGACCGACCTGTTCACCACGCTGGTGGACCTGCGCTGGCGCCTCAGCCTGCTGGTCTTCGTGTTGGCCTACGCGCTCACCTGGCTCTTCTTCGGCGCCATCTGGTGGCTCATCGCCTATGGCAGAGGCGACCTGGAGCACCTGGAGGACGCCGCCTGGACACCGTGTGTCAACAACCTCAACGGCTTCGTGGCCGCCTTCCTCTTCTCCATCGAGACGGAAACCACCATCGGCTACGGCCACCGCGTCATCACTGACCAGTGCCCAGAGGGCATCGCGCTCTTGCTCTTGCAGGCCATCCTGGGCTCCATGGTCAACGCCTTCATGGTGGGCTGCATGTTCGTCAAGATTTCACAGCCCAACAAGCGAGCCGCCACATTGGTCTTCTCCTCGCACGCGGTGGTCTCCCTCCGCGACGGCCGCCTCTGCCTCATGTTCCGTGTGGGTGACCTGCGCTCCTCACACATAGTCGAGGCCTCCATCCGTGCCAAGCTCATCCGCTCGCGCCAGACCTTGGAGGGGGAGTTCATCCCACTGCACCAGACCGACCTCAGCGTGGGCTTCGATACCGGCGACGACCGCCTGTTCCTCGTGTCGCCGCTTGTCATCAGCCACGAGATTGACGCTGCCAGCCCCTTCTGGGATGCGTCACGCTGTGCGCTGGAGAGGGACGACTTCGAGATCGTTGTCATCCTGGAGGGCATGGTGGAGGCCACTGGTGCGCAGGGTGTGGATGGACCCGGGTGCGGGGAGGGGGTGTGTGTGGGATGTGGTGGAGAGGAGGCTGGTGGAGATGAGACACTGAGGGGACAGAGGTTTCTCCTTGCTAAGAGACCCGGGCCCCTAGAGTTTGGTGGTGAGTGTTTCCCATGGCCTGAGTTATCCTTAACTGGCCCTCAGGAAAGGCTGACACCTGATCTCAATCTACCTCCATTTCCCTGAATTCCCACAGACTGGGCAAATAGAAGCCGTTCCCAAAGGCAACTGTGAGGTCAGGACCTCCCACTAGAGAAGGTGTAGGATCAGGCATGGACTCAGGCGGCCAACAGGCAGATGCCCAAGGGCCAGGGGCCAGGAGTTGAGCCTTGCTGCCGGGCCAGTGCCCCTGCTGGCCTCTCCCCCCGCGGGCCCGGCCGTCCTCCCTCGGCCTCACCCCTCTGCCTGAGTGCCCGCCACCCCTTCTCCTGTGCCCCTGCTCTCCTAGCCCGTCCCCCTCTCCCACTTCAGTTGTGGCACTCTTGCCAGAACTAGAGGCAGGCCCTCTCCTAGGTGAAGGACAAACCCCATCCACGCCTCCTCTCCCCAGAGTCCCTGTCACCTTACCACCCCCACAGGGTCCTTCCCATTCCACACTTCACCAAAGAACATCCATCTCCCTGGGCTGAGTTTTTCCAATGTTGATGCCTGTCTCTGGTTAGTGAAAGTTCTCACTTCTGTCCCCCTGTTCTGAGGAGCTGGGGAGACGCTGAGGTAGGAGGAGACCGCTTGACCTGGTGGATCAGCTGCCCCCACAGGGAGGGCAAGACACAGTCAAAGGGACAGTGTGGGGGGTGCTGGTGAGATTTGGAGGGCACGCTCTGATTTTTCTAGAGATGAGATGGAAAGGATGGTAATATTTTGGGTGAGAGAGTCAGGATTCAAAATACTTTTGAAAAGCAAGTATAATGAGCCAAAACCCAACAAGATGACATTTAAAAGGAATAAATATAAAATTCTACATTTAGGCTTAAAAAAAATTCCTTATGTAAGCGCAGCATGGAAGCGCTCTGATGAAGGAGAACTGGGGGTTTAGTTGGCCACAAGCTTAATGTGGTAGCACATGAGACAGCTTCAGAAAATGCTTGTGGAAGATCATCTGGGCCGTTATATAAAACACCATGGCCAGAGGGACAGCCCTCTCTGGTGCATGAACTGGGGCCACTCTGGGAATATTGATCACCTTCAAAGAGCATGGAGGTCCTCCATGTTCGGATTAGAAGGTAAAATTTTTCAGAAACCAGGCCATATGAGGAATGGAAGAGGGAGCCCAGAATTTCAGCTCATAGAAGAGAAGACATGATGGAACCTGAGTCTGTTGTTTTCAGACACAGGAAGGGGTATCATATGGCAGGGGAATAAACCAAGAGGTGGAAATCCTGGGAGGCAGATTTTAGCTTGGATGAGGAGGAGCAGCCCAAGTATTATAGCTTTCACACAAAGCAGTGGGCTCCTGGTAAGGTGGTGAGCTCTCAGTCCCAGGAGGCAAGCAAGTACCCAGTAGAGGTGAACCTTGGGAATGCCCCAGGGAAGAGTCTAGTGTGAACCAGGTGGTCTCTAAGGTCAGTCCCAAGGTTAAGTTTCTCTGATTGACACCTCTAGCTGAGAGGGAACATGTGAACTGAAGATGAAGAGGTGGGATCAGTGGGGAAGGGGTGAGGGAGCTGGATAGAATGGGAGCCGGGAAGGAGGAAAGGATAGGCCCAGGGAAGTGTGCTGGGCATCAGTGGTGGAGACAGGGAGGCCTGGGAGGGGAGTGTCTGACTGTGTACCTGCCCTAGGAATGACGTGCCAAGCTCGGAGCTCCTACCTGGTCGACGAGGTGCTGTGGGGCCACCGCTTCACATCCGTGCTGACCCTGGAGGACGGTTTCTATGAGGTGGACTATGCCAGCTTCCACCAGACCTTTGAGGTGCCCACGCCCTCATGCAGTGCCCGCGAGCTGGCGGAGGCTGCAGCCCGCCTGGATGCCCATCTCTACTGGTCCATCCCCAGCCGACTGGATGAGAAGGTGGAGGAGGAAGGGGCAGGGGAGGGGGCAGGGGCTGACAAGGAACAGAATGGCTGCCTGCCTCCCCCAGAGAGTGAGTCCAAGGTGTGACAGTCTTGTTCAGACCCCTGTGTTGGGGGGCCAGACTCAGGCTCTGGGGAGTGGAGATGCCAGGGGGAGGCAGAGGCAGATGGTGTCCCTGGGATGTGCTCACACTGGAGGCCTCCTCAGAACCCCAAGCCTGGGGTCAGATGTGGGACAGTGGAGGGTGGGGACGGGTCTGTCTTTGACCTTCACATGTGCCCTTGGGTAGACGGATGTGTGGATGGTTGGACCTATATGCACTGGAAGGGAAGGTGGTAGCAGAGACAGGTGGCGGACAGACCAACAGACAGCTGTGTGTCCAGGGTTGCTGCTAACCCCTAGAGCATCTTTGTTCAAATCCTAAAAGGTACCCTTTTCTTCCAGACTAATGCTACCCTATCCAGGGTACCTGGCTTGTGGAGCAAGATGTGGGTAGATTTTCATCCACATTCCCCCCTCGGCAACCTCCTGACTCACTGGGCAGAGTGGCCTGAGCTGACCCAGGGGAGAGCTTTGTGGAAGGGGCAGAGATGGGGAGGCTGAAGGATAAAAGGCTTCGTTCAGGGCTGTTCAGAGGGTGCGGTGACCTTGTCGACGTGCAAGGGACTTGTGCCCTGGGGGAGCTGGCAGAGCTGGGCCCCAAGCAGGGCCTAGGAAGAACAAGGTGACTGCTTTCAGTATGGAATGGGGTCCCTAGGCGCCTCTGCAGAGGCAGGAGGAAGGGGTTCAGGAGAGGAAGGGCTGGGGAGAGCAGGAGTGAGTAGGCTCACTAGAGGGAAACCTGGCCTGGGGGAGCAGATCTTGTTTTGGGGTCACTCAGAGTGCTCACTGGGTGTCCATTGTTCACTGGGTGACCTCAGGTGCAAGCGCTGACCCACCACTGCCTGTGGACACTCAGGGACCTGCCTGTTTTCTTGGAAAACAGCACACATTTGGGAATGTCTGGGTCCTTATCGCAAGGCGTGGTACAAACTTGGGCCCAAGCAACCCCTATGAGCTGGGGGTGGAGAGTGTTGGTGATCAGAAAGCCAGGTTGAGCAAGGCACTAGCCAGGCTGTCAGCCAGCAGATATAAAACCAGACTGAGTCAGCATTACCTGGAGAGCTTGTGAAACAGACTGTGGTCTCCTCCCCAGAGTGTTTGACTCAGTAGGTCTGGGGTGGGGACCAAAAATGTGAGTTTCTAAGATGGGTCTCACTGATGCTCCTGAACAGGGACCACACTTTGAGAACCTCTGCTCTAAGGAGGTGGGGCCCAAGAGAGCAGATACTTAGGCTGGTGTGGGGGACAGGAGACCCAAAACACAGGCTGAAGAGTTTAACTCTGAGCTCAGGAACTGCTGTCACTGGAAATGACAGACACAAGCTGGGGCTGCTTGGGGAAGATGAGGAGGAAGACAGAGAGGAAGCAGTCAGAAGGCCGCTAGTAGGACTTCAGAGCAAGACTGAACATGTCAGAAAACGTGCGAGAGGCAAGAAGAATCCAAACTTCTGTGGCTGCTGTCTGCCCAGCACGACAGGAGCCTCTGGAGACACATCCCTGTCCCGTCCACCCCTTCCTGGTGGCATCCTGGCCACGAGGAAGCCTCAGAATGGGAGGGCACTAACAACAAGTGGTGAGGGCTTAGGTAGAGGGGACCGAGGCGGCCTCCTGGGAGGACTCATAGCACCTGGCACAGGGACCTCAGTCTGGCCTGGCTCCACCCACTCCTGTCCTGGAATAGGAAGCTGAGCCCCGTAGGGACAGCGGCCTCACCAGCGCCATCCCGGTGTGCCAGCAGGGTCTAGTGGGGGACACAGCGGCTCTGGGAGCAGAAGGGCGAGAAGAGGGAGCCCAGGCTGCTCGCATTCCCAGAGATGGCCTTTGCCTCGGTCAGTTGTAAATGCGGTAGTCCCTGTCCCCCCAAGAAAAGGTGTTGGGTGTGGGCGGGATGCCATGTGGTCTGTTTCAGAGAAACAGGCGAGGCGGGTGGGAGAGAGAGGTGGCTGCTGTATCCACACTCCCTTGGCAGGAAACCCATCACCTGAATGGGCAGGCACTGGGGTGCCAGTAGTCTGTGGTCAAGGATCCAGCCCTGATACTGTCAGCAGCCGGTTCTAGGACTCTGGGCAAAGCATGCCATTTCTCTGGGCCTCTATTTCCCCATCTGTAAAAACAACACTTAGCAAACTAGCAATGCTCAATAAATGTTTCAACAACTGAACTGAAGAAGGTAGACTGGGTGCCTCTTAGGTACAGTGCCGCGAAGATACCCCGGTCACAGGGTCTTCTGGTAAAGACAACTTCAGGAGCCTCTGGCACAGGCGGGGCGTGAGGCCATGCGTGGGGTGAGTGCGGGTTGTGGGCCCCTGACTGCTGCTTTCCTGGTACTTAGGCGGCTGTGTTCTGGGGCTTCTGTTCTGCGGCTTCTGTTCTGCTGCTGTCAGAGGGTAAAGAAGATGGGAAGAAATGGCTGAGGCCTGGACGGGTGAGGGGGCATGCGTGGAGGGGCCCACCAGGCTCTGGGGAGCCGACCTGGACCAGGAGAATAGCCAAGCAGTGTGGGGAACTCAGGAAAGGGCCCTGGCTCTCAAAGCCCCCCTGTCCTGGCAAGAAGGCTGGAGACGGTGTCCAAGCCCAGCTGGCACTCCCCTCCCTCTCTGGACCCAGTTCAAGCAGGAGTCCCCACAGGCACTGGAAGCACCGACAGCTCAGAAGGCAGATGGGACCCAGGTGTCCCCCCCTGGGGTGGGTGGCACGGCCCACAGCGGCCAGATGGTGTTTGTGGCAGGAGAGGCCTGGGTCGTCCAGAATAGCTATCAGCCCCCAACCACCTCTGCCACGCCCCAGCCTTTGTGTCGCCTTCCAGCAGGGAAGACACAGCCAGCCTCAGCTTTAGAAAACAAGTTTATTCACATTTTAGAAAAACTAATTCTGGGAAAGGGAATGGCCTGCCTACCGCAGGTTAGAGACCAAGGACAGAAGGGGGGGGGGAGGAAGTAGGGGGGAGAGGGCCAGGATCCCCCTGGGTCAGGGTTGGTCAAATAAATTAAAGGGTGGGGGGAGGAGAGGGGGTAGGAGTATCCAGGCAACCGGAGGTGGGGGGAGCGGACTGGGAGACAGTCACCACCTGCAGAACTGAAGAAACAGTGGGGACTAAGGGGAGAGCTTAGGGACCCCTCCACCCCTCAACCCCCTGCGGGGTGGGGGCCTGCAAACAGCTGCTCCCCAGAGGCTCCGGGAGGAAGAGCTCATCCCAGGATTGGGATGGAGGTTGGGAGGTCCTTTCCCTCACCTGGAGAGCAAGGGATCACCGCTTCCGCAGCCTCTTCATAAAGCAGCAGGTGATGGTGCCCAGGACTGTGGCGCCCGTGACTAGAGCAACCGCTGTACCCACCAGCAGGGGCAGCAACAGGGTGTCCAGGGCTGGGTGGGAGAGGATGACCGCTCAGGGGTGCCGCTGCCTGCCCACAGCTGTCTCCAGCATCTCTCCAGTAGGCCGAGCACCACCTCCTCCTCCGACACCTCCTCCCTAATACACCGCCCTGCCCTCCTGCCCCCAACACTAGGCGCCCGTGCTCCCATCAAGGACACTAGTCGCCCGTGCTCCCATCAAGGACACTAGGCGCCCGTGCTCCCAGCTGCAGGCTGGGACTAAGGCCTTGGAATGAGGTGATGTGGAGCAGGTGGGTGGGTGGAAGGTGTGAGGGGGCGGGGGGCTCACCATGAGTGTAGGGGTAGATGGTGACAGGTCCCGAGCGGGCGCTGCCTGCCTGATACCAACTGTAGTCCGCGTGCTGCACCCAGGCACTGGGGGCACAGTGGTACACGCCCTCGTCCTCGGGTCCCAAGCTGTGCAACCTCAGCCGATGGCACGTCGGTCCCACCAGCTCCACGCTGATCGGGCCTCCTCCAGGCCGGACCCCCAGCTCTGCCACTCCATCCTGGCCCACACCCCCCACCAGCTGGGCGGGGGCCAAACTCAGTTCCCCCTCTTCTGGCCGCTCCACCCACCAGCTGGCAGCCAGTCGCAGCCCAGGGGGGCCACCCCGCACGGAGATGTTGCAGAGCAGGGAGGCGGTTTCCCCTCGGTACACGGTCCCTCCAGATAGCCACGCCACAGCCTCCAGCACCACACCTACAGAGCCAAAGACGAGGACAGAGCACAAAGGCCAAGGGCTGTCCAAGCAGTCCCCCCAGGGACACCAGGGTGCTCCCACTAGAGGGCTGTGGGGTGAAGGCGTGGGGCTGCTGATGGAGGGAAGAGGGGCAGAGAAAAAGGAAAAGGGCTCTATGTCAGCCCCGTCGAGGGCCTGTCCTCACCTTCCTCCCGCACGTGCACAGGGAGGGGCCGGGAGCGGGCACTGGCAGCCTCCCGAAGTCGGGCCCCGGTTCCTCGAACGTAGGCCTTGGCCAGGCAGCGGTAGGTGCCCGCATCACCAGGCCTGGCAGCCTCCAGCCGCAGCCGGTAGGTTCTAGATGCCACCTTCTCCATGGCAATGTGCCGGCCCTCATAGCCAGGGCCCAGGCTGCCCACGCCCTCTGTGTCCAGCTGGGCTACCAGGCGGCCAGGCCCGTGTGCTCCCGCAGGGGCCATCTCCCAGCCCACGGAGTAGGCCGCGTGGCGGCCCGGCGGGGGCAGCGCCCCTGACACATTGCACAGCAGCTCCAGTGGCTCCCCAGGGCCGATGCGCCGCTCCCCAGGGCCCACTGCCACCGCCAGCTGGCTGGCTGAAATACAGGAGGGAGGGTGTCACGAAGGCAGGAGGGACAAGAGCCCTGGTCACCAACGGAGGCTTCTGCCTCGACAGCAGCAACATGGAGACCCCTGCCTGCCCCTCACAGAGCAGGACCAGTCCCCACACCCAAGGCCCTGACCCTCCACACCCCATTTCTGAGCAGACAAAGCACCCTGGGTCGAACAGGGATGGTGCTCACGACGAGGGAAGGGGGGCTGGCTCCTTGTGAGTCAGACGATGTCTGTTTTGCACCCCTGCGGCCCTGGTGCCCACTGGGACACCCTCCCTCGCCCCTCTGGAGGGTGTGTG